AACAACAACAAGGTCACTATGAGTCAGTAACAACTCAATGGCACCTAACAACAACAATAACAACCAATAACTTCAGATGTAACAGTTAAGCATTCACTAGTCATCAGAAAAATTCTTAGAGAATTAATTATTTCTGGGACCCTAAGGAGTCCTGGTGAGGTGCTGTGGGCTAGTGTGCTGGACTGCAAAGTCGCTTTGAACCACAATGTTGGCAGTTCAAGCTCATCAGTTGCTCCTAGGAAACCCTATACAGGGTCACTATGGGTCAGAACTGACTTGAAAGCACTTGATTATAATAACAACAAGTCCTGGTGTGGTGCTATAGGATAAGCAGTGGACTGCTTACCTCAAGGTTTTGGTGGCGGTTAAAACCTGCCAGCCTATCCTATACAGGGTTTCTATGATTTGGAACAGACTCAACAACGCTTAACAACACAACAGTGAGTATTTATGATAACACAGACTGAATATCATGTATTTAAATGAGGGATTATTTTTTTTCCTTGAATAGCAAATCCCTGGATATAGGAAGGATATTGGCAATAAAAAAGAATTTGCTTTAGTTAAATCTCCTGAATTCCATCTATTCTATAGGAATAAGGATATTTCTATTTCAAACAAACAGACCAGATGTTTCTACAATTTAAAGAGTGTTTCCATATGGAAGTATTTATTTACTTGGGGCAATAATGCAATTAGAATATAATACAGATTCTCTCCTGCTCGATGTTTCTTTACCCAGAGTTGCATTTTGATATGATAGCCTACCATGTTCTTATCTCCTACTCACTGGAAGCTGAGAGACAGTCTGTCAAAGGAACTCATTCATTTGTAGCTTTCATTTCAATTGAATGTATTGCTGGGACTACAGGGTGACATTCTGGAATGTTAGTCTTCCACTATCTTAACCAACAGTGGTAAAATTTCTGGAAAGATGCAGGGTCAAGAAGTCTAGAATCTTAAAGCTCACTAACTGTCGGTTTTGTCAAAAAAGAAGTCTGTGTTGTTATTGTGGTCTCTGTCAGCAGTCTTTATTATCAAAATTGCCATCTTTATTTATGCTGTTCTTAATGGGTGCCTCACATTGCAAAGTAATAGTTCATTCTTCCTGTTCTCCCTTTGTTGTGGTTTGGCATTAACAAAAATATTTTTCTTTTCTTTATTTTAATCAAAGGAACATTTTTCATGATGGTTTTCCTGTTTTGTCATGGGGAAATAGTAAAGTCATATGAAATTTTAATGTTTCTGGATATCCGCAAAGTATTGTCTTATGGAACATTTTTCCTCTGTGCTCAGAGTTAAAAGATGTCCTTTTTAGCTGTATTATTTGCTTTACTGCCCTTTCTCATTACAGTTCTTTCCTCCATTCTACCTTATATCCATCCCTCTATGGGTTAATGCGTCAGACTGCAAAGCCATTTGAACTGCAAGGTTGGTGGTTCAAGCTCACCAGCTGCTCCTTGGAAACCCTATATAGGGTCACTATGGGTCGGAATTGACTTAGTGGCACTTAACAACAACAATAATCATCACACATCTCAATTTGAGGAGGCAAATTTCTTTCTATAGAATTTGCCAAGTTAAGTGTCCCTTTATGTTAGAGGTGAAAACTAGATGCTTCTGGCACTTCTAGAAAGATTTGTAAACACATGATAATTCGAAAAACTAGTAGTAATTTGCATGATTTGCAAAATTTAGTTTTCAGTTCTTCAGTGGTCCCCTTTTTTTCCCTTAACATCCTTAGCTCTTCACAGACACTGGGCATAAAAATATTGATTAATGTGTACGACTTAATTATGAATTAGGTCCTCCCACCAAGGGGAAAAAAAAGGATCCTAAACCCATTGCCAGTGAGCTGATTCCAACTCAAAGCAATGTAGATAAGAACTATACCATATGATTTCCAAGACTAATACGTCTTTCTGTTGCATAAAGCCTGGTAGCCTCCAATTACCGACCTTTCAGTTAGCAGATGAGCACTTATGCACTGTGCCACCAGGAGTTCTCTGGAATTATGACATATAAAAGTATTTTATAACTAAGCTAACTGCATGAAGATTGCATGACATGCATACAGAGCTAGTTCAGACCAAATCTAGGATGGAAAAACTTAATTTAGTGATTTCAAGGTATAATAATATTTTTGTCTTTTCCAAGAAGATGAAATACAAAAAGTCACAACTCTATTTCTACTTTGTTCTCTTTCTACAAATAGTTGCTAATGTTTGCTGTTTAAGAATCTTTATATCTGACTCCATTGTATTACACAATTACATGTATAGTTTGGAGAGAGATTTTTAGTGAAGTTGTTGTCAATTCCGACCCATAGCGACCCTGTGTAGGATTTCTGAGGAACAGCTGGTGAGTTTCAACTGCTGATCTTGTGGTTCAAACCAACTTAACACATAGTGCCACACCAGGGCTCCAAGTGAAGTTGTAGAGCTAACCAAATCATAGGAACATCATATCATACACGGAGTATAGTCATGCATTTCTTACCTGACTAAACTTAAAATCAGTCAAAGTAGAATTATAGACAAGGAGGTAAGTACTATTTTTTCTGTAATAATCTGCTTCTAATAGAAAAATTCTTGTTATGGTGATTGTTATGTGCTGTTGAGTCTGTTCTGACTCACAGAAACCCTGTATAAGGGTTTCTGAGACTGTACATCTTTTTTTTAATTGTGAATTATGTGATAGTTTACATGGGAGAATATTAGCCTTGCATTCATCCTATCGTATACCATTTCATTGCCATAATTACAGTCCCCTCCATGCATTATCAACCAACCAAAGGGTACACCCTCCAAGCCTGTCCCACGGTCATCAGCACTCTACCCCTCTCCCTCTCTGGGTCTACAGTCTCAGCCTCTCCATCTCTCCACATCATCCTCTCTGTCTGCATCTCTGGCTTCACTGTTTTCTCTGGGTAGGGTCCTACAATCCACTCTTCTCCCT